GTTTTCGTCAACAAGATGTTGCATGAATGACTCATCAAAATAAGCCATAAAATATTCACTTTCACTCATAACTTCACCTGTATATGGGAAAGTGGGTGCAACACCAACATCAGTATCATCAAGTTGTGGTTTGTGTGGTTACCTTGAGGTGCTTCTGTGGCTTAGCGTCCCCTCGTACCCACTTAGCGTCCCCACGTACCCACTTAGCGTCCCCACGTACCCATTTAGATTATGCAGTTCAGTTTTTGTCGCCATACGATAGAATGCATATAAATGCACTAGAACGCGTCCAGCGTAGGATGACAAAGTTAATTCGGCAAATTAGAAACCCGTCATATGAAGAAATATTGATAAAGCTTAAATTACATTTTTTAGACAGGCGAAGAATTAAGGGTGACATGATAGAGGTGTACAAGTGGATGAATGGAAACCTGTTACAGTGTCCCAGGTGAGGACAGTGTGACAGGTGAGGACAGTGTACCAGGTGAGGACAGTGTACCAGGTGAGGACAGTGTACCAGGTGAGGACAGTGTACCAGGTGAGGACAGTGTACCAGGTGAGGACACTGTGACAGGTGAAGACACTGTGACAGGTGAAGACACTGTGACAGGTGAGGACAGTGTCCCAGGTGAGGACACTGTGACAGGTGACTCAAAGTAGGTGCCTGTGTCTGACCCCCACGCAAGTCAGGGAAGAAAAAAATTGACAGTGGCAGTCGAGAGAAGATTTGTTGGTGACCTGGAGGAAGGTAGACCCAAGGCGCCGTCTGGCGGTGTGGAGACCAGCGTCATCGCACTAAGAATTTTGCGGTAAGAACATTTTGTTTGCTACAGTTCGCCGTGTACGGTGAATTAGAACTGCTGAATGATTTATAGTGATGCTTAGTGACCTTAATTAACCATGTTTATAGTGAATAATAAATAATATTGGAGAATTAATAGATGATGGAGGCGAGAGTGACTGATGCTCGCTTGCTTGCTGACGGTTGGTGAACGGCTGAGTAGATGCTGGAAGATCAGTGTGGCTTTGCCTGCTGTGGGGGAGTCCACTTGGCAGTGCTGATTTTCGTCAGCTGCCGAGAGCAGTGGTGTGTGGGAAGTTTTGGTGAAAAGTTTAAATTAATTTATTTTCTAGTTGTTTGTAGAGGATATATTATTTTGTTATATGTGAAATTACAGGTTCGCGTGTGGTAGGTGAGGAGTGGTAGTTTCATGAGGCGACCGAACACTTGGTCGTACTGCTATTAACCTGTAGAGAATAATTCGTCAGAGAGGAGATCCACCCTGAGTAAAGGAGGATTGATCCACCAGAGATTTTTCGTCATCTCTGTTTGGTTGTTTAGGGGATTCCATTGTAAATGAATTGATGATGCAGTGAATTGGGGTGAGAGTGTTTGTTTGTTTCCGTTTACCAAGATGTATTCAAATGTCGGGTGATAACAAGATCAGTATCCTGCAAGATTACTCAAGACCAGGAGCCAAGGAGGAACAGTGCTGGGTGGGAGGGACTAGGGGCCCAGGAGGAACAGTGCTGGGTGGGAGGGATGAGGGGGGGGATGAGGGGGCCCAGGAGGAACAGTGCTGGGTGGGAGGGATGAGGGGGCCCAGGAGGAACAGTGCTGGGTGGGAGGGATGAGGGGGCCCAGGAGGAACAGTGCTGGGTGGGAGGGACGAGGGACCCAGGAGGAACAGTGCTGGGTGGGAGGGACGAGGGACCCAGGAGGAACAGTGCTGGGTGGGAGCAACGAGGGACCCAGGAGGAACAGTGCTGGGTGGGAGGGACGAGGGACCCAGGAGGAACAGTGCTGGGTGGGAGGGACGAGGGACCCAGGAGGAACAGTGCTGGGTGGGAGGGACGAGGGACCCAGGAGGAACAGTGCTGGGTGGGAGGGACGAGGGACCCAGGGAACAGTGCTGGGTGGGAGGGACTAGGGGCCCAGGAGGAACAGTGCTGGGTGGGAGGGACGAGGGGCCCAGGAGGAACAGTGCTGGGTGGGAGGGACGAGGGGCCCAGGAGGAACAGTGCTGGGTGGGAGGGACGAGGGGCCCAGGAGGAACAGTGCTGGGTGGAAGGGACGAAGGGCCCAGGAGGAACAGTGCTGGGTGGGAGGGACGAGGGACCCAGGAGGAACAGTGCTGGGTGGGAGGGACGAGGGACCCAGGAGGAACAGTGCTGGGTGGGAGGGACGAGGGACCCAGGAGGAACAGTGCTGGGTGGGAGGGACGAGGGACCCAGGAGGAACAGTGCTGGGTGGGAGGGACGAGGGACCCAGGAGGAACAGTGCTGGGTGGGAGGGACGAGGGACCCAGGAGGAACAGTGCTGGGTGGGAGGGACGAGGGACCCAGGAGGAACAGTGCTGGGTGGAAGAGACAATTTAAATTTAATGGTTTGATATAACAGATGTGAGGAACACTTGAATGAAGATTTTATGGTTCTGTTACTATGCCATATTATGTAATGTTTGTGTCGGTTTACTGAGACATGGATGTTCACGCCAGGTGATGATTACAATCAGCAGAAGGTTACTTTACCAGAGAAAGATGTTAATATGTTAGCAAACGATATGGGCAAAGTCATTCCAAGCTAATTGATGTGTAAGGTGGATGAGGCTGTAACCTAGAGTCCAGAGGTGAGCTGAGGACTCAGTCCAAGACATCATTTTTTATTTATTGCATTTCGTGTATTTATTGTTTGCTTTTAAAAGGTTTGTTTCCTCTTGTTCCCTGTGAGGGCTTTATTGAGAAAGAAAGGTGATAATTTCGACCTGCTGGTTATATAATGAAGAAAGGTAATGAGGGAATTACTTGAGACACTTGAGTAACGTGAAGGGGGAAGACTGAGTCACCTGTATCTTAGCAACCCGCCCTGTGCCCTAGTCCATTCCATCCAGCGGTCGACCCCAAAGACCTAATCATCAGTTTTAACTTGCTGTTTAATTAAAATTGATTTTTTTCAAATACAAATAAATATTATTTTATGTTAGTATACTGTGCATAATTAAGCATTGGTTAGGTTAGGTGTTTAGGTTCGGTTGACGAGTATTTGTATTTATAGTACGTGGGTCAAGCATTTACCAACCTGTCCTCGGCCCAAGTCCATTACATCCAGCGGTCGACCTCACAGACGCATTCATAAAATTTTACATGCAGTTCATTCAAAACGAGAATTTCCTCAAATATAAATTAAATATTATAATATATTAGCATATTGTGCATATATAGGTTAGGTTAGGTGTTTAGGTTTTGTTGGCGATTATTTGCATTTGTAGTACGTGGGTGAAGCATTTCAACCCGTCCTCGACTCAAGTCCATTACATTCAACGGTCGACCCCACAGACGCATTCATAGATTTTAACATGCTGTTCATTCAAAACGAGAATTTTCGCAAGTATAAATTAATATTATAATATATTAGCATATTGTGCATATATAGGTATAGGATAGGTTAGGTTAGGTGTTTAGGTTCTGTTGGCGATTATTTGTATTTGTAGTACGTGGGTGAAACATTTACAGCGTTGTGATTCGAACAAAATTCGTCAGTGAAGCACTTGTTCCGGATATGTTCCAACGTCAGCAGTTGTGAGTCGTGTGTAAACCGCTTTTCATTCATAAACAGGGGGTTTGGTGGGTGGATGGAATCACTTTTGGATCTTTGTTTGGAGGACGGGCTGAGCATTTACAGCGTTGTGGTTTGAACAAAATTCGTCAGTAATGCACTTGTTCCGGAATTGTTCGAACGTCATCAGTTGTGAGTCGTGTGTCAGCCCATCCGCCAAACAAAGACCCAAAAGTGATTCCATACACCCGCCAAACCCTGCTGTTTATGAATGAAAAACGATTTACAGACTACTCATAACTGATATCGTACGAACACTTACGGAACAAGTGCTTCACTGACGAGTTTTGTTTCAACCACAACGCTGTAAATGCTTCACCTATGTACTACAAATACAAACAATCGCCAACAGAACATAAACACCTAACCTAACCTATGAATATGTAGGCACAATATGCCAATATATTATAATATTAATTTATATATGAGAAAATTCCAGTATTGAATGAACACCATGTCAAAATTTATGAATGCGTCTCTGGGGTCGACCGCTGGATGTAATGGACTTGAGTCGAGGACATGTTGTGTGTAAACCGTTTTTCATTCATAAACAGGGGGTTTGGCGGCTGCAGGGAATGTACTTTGGCCTTTGTTTATGAGGACAGGCTGAGCTCAGTTTGGGTGTGAGCTCATTACAACAGGTGAGTGACTGAGCCTGTAGTTCCCCAATTAGTGAAGTGAAACTTCACCCCCCTCCCAATTAAATACGAGTCCAGGTGATTGAGTCCTTACTGAGGATATTGGCATTGTTGTGGTGTCAGCTATGGTGGCAGCACCTTCGCTGGTTGCCTGCTAATTGTTGATCATTGTTATTAATTATCAACCCTCTGAACAGTGAGGTAATTTAGGGGGCCACAGCGTGGTACTGGTACAAGTGTAATACCACAGACTGGGTACAATGGTGATACCGCAGACTGGGTACATGGGTGATACCACAGACTGGGTACATGGGTGATACCACAGACTGGGTACATGGGTGATACCACAGACTGGGTACCTGGGTGATACCACAGACTGGGTACACGGGTGATACCACAGACTGGGTACAAGGGTGATACCACAGACTGGGTACATGGGTGATACCACAGACTGGGTACATGGGTGATACCACAGACTGGGTACATGGGTGATACCACAGACTGGGTACATGGGTGATACCACAGACTGGGTACATGGGTGATACCACAGACTGGGTACATGGGTGATACCACAGACTGGGTACAAGATTGATACCATCAATTGGGTGCCATAGTGATACCACAAGAAGGGTTCTAGGGTTATATCACACTTGGGTACGAAGGTTATTCCTTAGGCTTGGCAATAGTTACTTTCTTTTGATTTGTTATTTCATTTAGTTTTTCTGATAAAATTTCCATTTTCACAGGATCATCAGCCAAAAATCTTCAAGGACAACAGTGACATGATTTTAAAACGACTGCTCGAGGAGAAAGACTGGAAAGCAATAAAAATAGTTTTGCAGATAGGTAAAAGTTTGAGCCACCAGTGTCTGAAGACCATTGGTAACCTTGCTCTCGCTGAAGGACAAACAGATGTCTTGAAGATCTGTTGGCTGAAGATGGAAGAAGGCGAAAACTCAGATGAATCTCACGATCAAGAATAGGATACCAAACATTCAAGAGTTAATATTCTTAGGTCAATCAAATTTGTCTTTGGATGTTTGTGGAGCAATAAAGTAGATCTTTAAGTACGTCGTGGTAAAGTGACGGTTAGTCTTGTTAAACTCTGATATTCTGGCAGATATATGGATAGTCTTATAAAACTATAATATAAAAGTAGATTTCATGTGGTGCCTTTTAATAAAAAAATATAAATAATAAACATAAACAGTAGAGAAATTCATTATAACACAATACATAATAACAAATGTCTTTATTTCTTGAGCAAATGCAATATTGTAAGAAGACAGATAAATGAAGATCGTGAAATTGTATCACATCCGTTACAAAATTAATGCAAATTTTGTATAGGTAACAACGAGTACAATATTAATGTAGTTCAATAGTGATTTGACAAATATATAATGACACCAAATAAAGGCTACATAGTAAAGCTAGGGAGATAGTTTCATAGTATGACAAGATTGCAGTAATAAGATGGTTAGTCTTTATACACAGAAATGTGTCTGTGATCCACAGAAACTTGAAAATTGTTTACATTTAGACATTCTCATTGTATTGTGATATAAAGTGCAGTTCGAGTCTAGGTTTGTACAACGAAAGTGTTGTAATTTTTCAATGACTGGAAGGCCGTTCATTCCTGTATATGACAACCTTTGATGTGGAGGAACTGTTTGCACAGCGTGGTGGAGACAAATGAGGTGTTAGGTTTAATATAAATCTTGGGTGGTGCTGAGCATTTACTCGTATTATATATGATTGGCGAGCATATTAGGAAACTTAGACACATATGTATAACTAAATTGTCAGAAAATTTACGCAGTTGGTGCTGGACATAAAGGTTTTTAATGTAATCCTCTCTCTTGAATGATAGCACTTTTTTTATTTATTTTCTGTAATCTCAAATTTTCGTAAGTAAAAAGTATCGACGACGGACTTTTAGAGTTGAACATGATACAATTGTACAGGTTTCTACAGATCCAAACACATTTGAAAATATATATATACATATATTTTATATATATATATATATATATATATATATATATATATATATATATATATATATATCCACCACCTCCCAAGTGAACTTGGAAGGTGGTGGTCTTTGTAGTATATAAATACTCCGAAATTACCATCTCTTTTAAGGGTCTGAGCAGGTGGTGGAGTGGGTTAAGACGTACCTGTTATGCCAGTTGCTGGAAGGCTTCTGTGCTGGCTAGGGTTCGAGTCTCCTGGTGGGAAAGTGTTCTAAAGTTGTATACTTCACTCTCGTGTTTAGGAGAGTTGTGCCTTAAGCATAGACACAGTGTTCTCTCATATTAACAGGGACTTGATGAAAAAACGTAAAAATGACCCCTCACTTGCTCTAGTGCTCTTGAGAGGTGGTGGTCTTTGGAGTATATAAATACTCCGAAATTACCATCTCTTTTAAGGGTCTGAGCAGGTGGTGGAGTGGGTTAAGGCGTACCTGTTATGCCAGTTGCTGGAAGGCTTCTGTGCTGGCTAGGGTTCGAGTCTCCTGGTGGGAAAGTGTTCTAAAGTTGTATACTTCACTCTCGTGTTTAGGAGAGTTGTGCCTTAAGCATAGACACAGTGTTCTCTCATATTAACAGGGACTTGATGAAAAAACGTAAAAATGACCCCTCACTTGCTCTAGTGCTCTTGGGAGGTGGTGGTCTTTGGAGTATATAAATACTCCGAAATTACCATCTCTTTTTATGCCAGTTGCTGGAAGGCTTCTGTGCTGGCTAGGGTTCGAGTCTCCTCGAACCCTATATATATATATATATATATATATATATATATATATATATATATATATATATATATATATATATATATATATATATATATATATATATATATATATATATATATATATACACATATATATATATATATGTATATATGTATATATATATATATATATATATATATATATATATATGTATATTTGGTTTTTGGAAACCAGAAAAACGGCCAGCCTACTCATGAGAAACTCTCCAGACACGAAACAGAACGCTTTAAAAGAGACTAACGTCGTCTATGCCTTCAAATGCCCACTTGGGGACTGTAAGCTCCAAAAAACCCAGTATATAGGCAAGACAACAACATCTCTTTCTAGGCGTTTAACGATGCATAAACAACAGGGCTCCATTAAGGAACATATAATCTCTTCCCATAACCAAACCATCGCCAGAGAAATCCTAGTAAACAACACAGAAATCATCGATAGATACAGCGATAGCAGGCGGCTTGACGTTTGCGAGGCACTACACATCAAGAAGTCAACACCAGCAATCAACAGCCAATTATTGCACAACTATATTCTACCCACCTCAAGACTCCGCTCCAATATAGAAGCATCAAGAAATATGGACCAATAGGCTTTCTACAAACACTTCTATTCAATATCCATTGTTTCGTGTTCTGTCTTGTGTTGATACTTTTAATACCCTATTAATATCCTCTAATGCCACATCATCCTTCCCACCTCACTCAAATGTAATGCCACATCACCCTTCCCACCTCACTCAAAAGTAGATATAAAATCAGGGAAATGCAAGTTCTAATCAGTTGTGTATTTGTGAAGTCTTTGAAAATGTAATAAGTTTTACGAAACGCGCCCGTGTCGCGTCAGACTAGAAATAAAAATGAATTTTGGAGAAGTGATTTTTGATTTACCTCCAACAGTGAAGCATAATGTACGAAAGATTGAGAAAATTCGTGTTAGAATTATTAATCTTACTTTTTCGGTCATATTTAATAATATATATATATATATATATATATATATGTCGTACCTAGTAGCCAGAACTCACTTCTCAGCCTACTATTCAAGGCCCGATTTGCCTAATAAGCCAAGTTTTCCTGAATTAATATATTTACTATAATTTTTTTCTTATGAAATGATAAAGCAACCCTTTTCTCTATGTATGAGGTCAATTTTTTTTTATTGGAGTTAAATTAACGTAGATATATGACCGAACCTAACCAACCCTACCTAACCTAACCTAACCTATATTTATAGGTAAGGTTAGGTTAGGTAGCCAAAAAAAGCTAGGTTAGGTTAGGTTAGGTAGGTTAGGTAGACGAAAAAACATTAATTCATGAAAACTTGGCTTATTAGGCAAATCGGGCCTTGAATAGTAGGCTGAGAAGTGCGTTCTGGCTATTAGGTACGACATATATATATATATATATATATATATATATATATATATATATATATATATATATATATATATATATATATATATATATATATGTATATATATATATATGTATATATATATATATATATATATATATATATATATATATATATATATATATGTATATATATATATATGTATATATATATATATATATATATATATATATATATATATATATATATATATATGTGTATATATATATATATATATGTGTATATATATATATATATATATATATATATATATATATATATATGTGTATATATATATATATATATATATATATATATATATATATATATATATATATATATATATATATATATATACGTATATATATATACGTTCGCATTTGTGTTCCTCACGTGTGCCCCAAAGAATGAGGTGATTTGGTAAAATGCTATGCCCAAGATTACTATCTGAGTGCAGGCGGTGGGGTGGTTCAAATAGCCTCGGCTATCACCTCATAATGTCCGGTCGTGATGGTCAAGTGGATTAAGGCGTCTTGTACATACCAGTTGCGTTGCTTCTGGGAATATGGGTTCGAGTCACTTCTGGGGTGTGAGTTTTCAGTTATATATATATATATATATATATATATATATATATATATATATATATATATATATATATATATATATATATATATATATATATATATATCGTACTTAGTAGCCAGAACGCACTTCTCGGCCTACTATGCAAGGCCCGATTTGCCTAATAAGCCAAGTTTTCATGAATTAATTGTTTTTCGACTACCTAACCTACCAAACCTAACCTAACCTAACTTTTTCGGCTACCTAACCTAACCTAACCTATAAAGATAGCTTAGGTTAGGTTAGGTAGGGTTGGATAGGTTCGGTCATATATCTACGTTAATTTTAACTCCAATAAAAAAAAATTGACCTAATACATAATGAAATGGGTAGCTTTATCATTTCATAAGAAAAAAATTAGAGAAAATATATTATTTCAGGAAAACTTGGCTTATTAGGCAAATCGGGCCTTGCATAGTAGGCCGATAAGTGCATTCTGGCTACTAGGTACGACATATATATATATATATATATGTCGTACCTAGTAGCCAGAACGCACTTCTCAGCCTACTATTCAAGGCCCGATTTGCCTAATAAGCCAAGTTTTCATGAATTAATTGTTTTTCGACTACCTAACCTACCTAACCTAACCTAACCTAACGTTTTCGGCTACCTAACCTAACCTAACCTATAAAGATAGGTTAGGTTAGGTTAGGTAGGGTTGGTTAGGTTCGGTCATATATCTACGTTAATTTTAACTGCAAAAAAAACAAATTGACCTCATACATAATGAAATGGGTAGCTTTATCATTTCATAAGAAAAAAATTAGAGAAAATATATTAATTCATGAAAACTTGGCTTATTAGGCAAATCGGGCCTTGCATAGTAGGCTGAGAAGTGCGTTCTGGCTACTAGGTACGACATATATATATATATATATATATATATATATATATATATATATATATATATATATTAAGATGAATAGGAAAACCAGGGATATACTGAACATCTTGTATCAGAATCTTTACTTTAAAAAACATAACGTTTCGAATACTTCTCGTATTCATCATCAGATCTAAAAGAAAAAACAGAAATCACAGTCAAATAGCTGGTAAACAAAGAACTCATACTGAATATAATTGCCTATCAAAGAAAGGAAAATGCTTAAAAAACAAAACACTTAAGCGCACTTAAAGTGATCAATACAAATAAAACTTATTAACTGTCGCATATATTAAAACTAATTTAAAATCCATTAAACTACAAGATGAAATTTATAACTACTAAAACAAACCATTCCATTAAACTTACATGAAGTGATCAGAAGTCAAACTTGATACCTAACACATAGATACTAAACACTATAACAAATATTTATATAATGACTACAAATCTACAAAAAATGTATGTAAAATACAAACAGAATAAACGACAATTATAAAGTGCT